ACAATTGAACTCATCGAACATAGAGCAAGTATGGCGGGTTATAAAGTTAGGTAAAGAGTCGATTCTCCTGGGTTGCATTTATCGTTCACAGGACAATGACAAAGCAATGCTTAAAAAAGTAATAAATACAATCAATTCTGTGAATCATTTCAAAACTAGAATGCTCATCCATGTTAGTCTACGGTGACTTCAACTTCAGTAACACAACATATGAAGAACTTGACTTGAACGGAGCATCAGCAACAGTTGCCCACATGCAAAATGAGCATCAAAGTGATGTGTTATTCCAACAACGTCTTAACATGAACTTCCTTACACAAATGATAACGTTTCATACTTATAGAAGAAATAGAGAAGAAGAGCCAAGAAGCGGACTTGACTTAATTATTGAACTTATATGAGTTATTGAACTACATAAAGGCAAAACTACGATGCCATCTCAGCACAAAGCAAACTACAATGCCATCTCAGCACAAATAATAGCCATCGATTGGACAATATCTTCAATTCCTTTTCAGCCAACAACAACTTTAAATTATTAATAGAAAAAATCAATGAAGCAATTGAAATCCACATACCTGCAACTACGTTACCTTTCAAAAGTAAAAAAGAACCAAAACACCCCTGAAGTTGAAGTAGCTGTGAGGGAGAAGAGAGCACTATAACGCAAATATTTAGCAGACGGTAGATGGACGCATGAGGAAATTCCTAAGGAGCACAAAGCAGCATGTAAAAGACTCAGCAAGGTGGTGAAAGCAGTAACAGTTGACTACGAGAGGGAGATTACAGCACGTTTCAACTATGACCCTAAACAACTTCATAACCAAGTTAAGCATAAGCAAATGGAAAATGAAATGGTGAAATCTCTTGAAAACGATGCAGGAAAAAAAACTACAAGTATGCGAGAAATTTCATATTTACTTAATAACTATTTTCAGTCTGCAATTATTGTTGAGCCTCTAGATCAAATGCCAAATTTCAGAGATTGAACCCAAGCAAAGTGCAATTTAAATGAAGCTATAATCATGCATGTAGCTGTACAGTAAATGCTTGGAAAATTAATCAAAACAAATTCTAAAGGGTATGACAGAATGCACCCTCATGTACTTCGCAATTGCGCTGCTGTAATCTCCGTACCATTAGCAATGATCTACCCCAAGTCTCTCTCTAAAGGCAAAGTACTCAATTTATGGAAACTGTAAAATAAAACACCAATCTTCAAGACTGGTAGCAGAAGGAAGCGCTCAAACTACAGACCTATATCACTAACATCAGTACCATGCAAGATAATGGAGAGCTTCATTCATGAGTGAATCATGAAGCACTGCTATAACAATGGTCTATTCACAAAAGCTCAACATGGTTTTTTACCTAAGCTGTGTGTCTAATTTACTAGAAGCTCAGGACATTCTGACGGACGCAGTATATCATAGCTATGCAATAGACGTGATATACATTGATTTTGCAAAAACCTTCGACAAAGTGTCACACAAAAGACTTCTGCATAAACTAAAAGCTTATGGTTTATGCGGCACTATTCAGGTGGATATCAAACTGGCTGGCTAACCGAAAGCAAAGGGTTGTTGTTGGCAAAGCTGAATCCGAGTAGAAAGAGGTAACTAGTGGAGTGCCTACCTCTACATTAATGACCTACCAGACAATATAGTTCATCACATCAAGATATATACCAACAACAGCAAAATACTAGGTGTAATCAAAACAGAGGAGGACAAAGCATGTCTCCAGCTTGAAATTGACAATGCAGTAGAATGGTCCAAAAAGTGGCTAATGCTACTCAACTTGGACAAATGCAAATGTATGCATGTAGGTCACTCCTACAAATCAGTCTACCTTTACACAATGACTGATCAGATGGGAATAAGACAAGAACTGGGTAGGACTTCAGTCAAATGAGATTTAGGTGTTCTTGTTTCAGAAGACTTCAAGCATCAAGTTAAAGCAGCAGCTGCAAGAGCAAGCCAGGTACTTGGTCGACTTAAAGAATCCTTCAGAAGCAGAGGCCTCATTCTTTGAAAAGTCCTTTATAAATTGTATGTTAGACCACACCTTGAATTTGTCATCCAATCATGGTCAATACACCTGAAGGGAGACATCAAAGCTCTCGAAAGCATTCAAAAGCGTGTGATAAAGTGTATCACAGACATCAAACATAAATCATATGAAGAAAGACTTACAATTCTAGGCCTAACCAAACTAGAAGATATACGAGTTAGAAATGATTTAATTCAGCAATATAAGATTGTGCATAGTGTTGAGATAATCGAATTTGTTGCGCCTCAAGTCTACACGCAAACGCTTTCCTAGTATAACCATTGTGGCAATAGCTTAAGACTTACTAAGCCGTTAGTCAAGAACTGTGTTGAAAGAGAAAAGTTTTTCACAAACCCCGTAGTCAATGCATGGAATACTTTATCATCAAGCATTGTTAACTCCTTTTCAGCAGACGCATTTAAAAGTCGATTCGACGCACTAACAGTACAAGTATAGGCACATTGTGTGTCCAATATTTGTCAGCATAGAGGTGCCTGGTGCTGCACCTCTTCATCAATATATTATAAACATTTTATTCTTTATGAACTAAAATTATTATAAATATTATTGATTTCTGAATAAACAAACAAACAAACAAAAAAACAAAAAATATATATATTTCTTTTTTTGTCCAATAACTTCTTAACTGAAAATATTCAAATCATTCTTTACTTGTGGAATTTATACCCATAGTTTTAATTGGTAGAAGTTCTTTTGTTTTAATAAATAAATATATATAAATAAATATATATAAATAAATATCGTTGTTTGTGGAATTTACAAATATAGTTATAATTGGTAGAAGTTCTTTTGTTTTAGTAAGTAAATAATTGCATTTAGTTTGTAACATTTTTTAGAAAATGTTAGTATTTTCACTCTTGATCGTTCAATTTTTTAAATACTTATATTTATATGGATTTTTTTAAAATACTTATATTTATATGGATATTTTTTAAATACTTATATTTATATGGATATTTTTTAAATACATTTATATGGATATTTTTAAAATACTTATATTTATATGGATGTTTTTTAAATACTTATATTTATATGAATTTATTCATTAAAAATTATTAAAATCACATTCAAAAATGGGAAAAAACAAATTTTATGGGAAGAGCTTCATCATCAAGTTAGAGAAAGAAATTTTACTAACAAAAAGAATTTGTTTGCAGCTTTACACCAAAAATGGAAAAATATCTCAATAGACAAACTAATTAAGCTTGTCAAAATATAATTGAAAGTAAAAATACTTTTGACCCAAGCAAAAGTGAAAAATAATTATTTAAAATATATTAATGCAAAGTCCAATAAATATATATAAATAAATATAAATATAAATTTAAATATAAATATATATATATATATATATATATATATATATATATATATATATATATATATATATATATATATTAGGTTTATGATTTTTTTAACTTTTGTCACAGTTTTAATTGGTCATAGTTTTAAAACCTGAGAAATTGATAGTTAATATTAAAATTTCATAGTAATATTGAATATAGTTAAAAGATGTCCCCCCTGCCCACAATTAAGTTATGCTATAAAAATATTGTTGTTTTTATGACTATTATGAAAGCATTTTTTTTTTTTAATTTAATTCACCTCCTCAAGGCCGAGAAGGCCACTACAGATGAGGAGGCTACTTATTTGTGGTTATAACCCTCTCTCAACTCTATAACTCCGAAACACGAACCTTGACGAACAAGGCGGCTGTTGTGTGATATGTTGGTCTGAACTGAAATATTACACAAATATAGAAAATAGTTAATACTAATGCGTTTTATGTTTTACTTATTTCTTTTGTCTTTACCCATTTCAAAGAAAAGTATTTTTTTTTTAATTTTTAAAGAAAAGTATTTTTATTAAAATAATATTAAAACATAGAACATTACTAACATTTATTATCCATGCATTTTAGATTTTTCTAATATGTCAAATAAATATAGCAAAACTGTTGTTGACAAATATTCAAGAGTATGGACAAAAAATTTAGTTTTGTTTGAAAAACGTTTAACATCAAGAATTGGTCTACCCTTTATTGAAAAACCATTGGATTCATTTAAAAGAATGTTAAAAAAAAACTTTTATTATTAGACGTTACAACTACCTATTCATCAATTGAAAAAAGCAGAAAAGAAAGAATAAAGTTAATTGCCATCGAAATAAGTAAATTATGGAACAAACTCAAATTCTTAAGGATTTCTAAAAATCAGTTGGAAGAAAAATTGAAAAGGTTATAGAAAAACACGACAAGTATCTTAAAAAGCCTGGCAAAAAGGAAGAATGCTCTGTTTTTGGAGATCTTTTTGATATCACCAATATTATAGGCATATGGCTTAGTCTGGAAGATAAAAAATTTTATAACATACAATTATTAAGTTCAGAAGAAGTTGGTCACAGTACTAACACACAAGTGTCATTACATCCTTCAAAAGTCAGAGTTTGTAATGCAAAAGATACAACTTCTACAAGCAAAGCAAATAATTGTCCAGTTAGCAGTTCAACTGCATCAGAAGAAAGTGGTTCAGATTTAGATTCACAAGACAATTATGAACCAGTGGAATTAAAAAAATCAAGAAAGATAGTATATAATAGAACCAAGTTAGCATCTAATCTTGTAATAACTGAATCTTTAAGTACAAATAAATCAGCTAGAATCTGTAAAAAGTTATTTGAAAAAGGTAATAGAAACTCCAAGTCCGACAGGAATATGGAGATATATATAACTATAAGGCAAGGGGAAAGCATGAAGAAAATTGTTGCTAAAATGGTACAAGAAGAACAATTCTGCCTACATTTTGATGGAAGAAAATAAACAAGACTGAATACCAAGTTGTAATACTTCAAAATGAGAAAAGGAAAATTAACTTAGGAATCGTTAAATGTGAAAGTAGAAAACTGAATACCAAGTTGTAATACTTCAAAATGAGAAAAGGAAAATTAACTTAGGAATCGTTAAATGTGAAAGTAGAAAACTAATGACATTTTTGAAGCTGTTAAAAAATTGCTAAAAGATTTTGATGCATGGAAATGTATTTCAATGATTATATGTGACACAACAGCAGTAAACACAGGAAAATTAAATGGTATAGTTGTTAAAGTACAAAATGAAATAGAAACCATAGGCTTTACTAAACCACAATATTTAGGATGTCAGCATCATATACTGGGTCTCCTTTTAAAACTTGTTTTGGATCATTTTGTAAATTGTAAATCAACAAGTCCTGGTTTTGATTATAAATTTGTGAAGGATTTAACAGAAAATTATGAAAATCTTCAAAAAAATCATATATATGAAACTGAGCCTAATAACTACATAAACTTGAGATGGCAAGATGACATCAAATTCCTTTATAAGTTATGTAAAGCTTTTAGTTACTTCAAGAATCATAAAAAGTTACCAAAAATTTGTGGCACAAACACTGCTAGATGGAACTCTATAGCATCATATGTTCTTCTTGCCTATTTTCTTATACCAACATGGAGGTGTGAACTTGAAAGTGCAGCAACTTTTATTGTAAATCAATAGAAAAAACTTTGGTTCAGCAAACAATTCTTTGATAATAAATCATATGACTATATGCTTGATGCATTGACTGAAATTAAGTGTACAGCTGCTTTAAAGTGTTTTATGAAACACTGGAGCAAAGAAGATAGTGTAGTTCATATTCCAAGAACAAACATCATTGCTGAACGAGGCGTTAAATTGATGAAAGATCTCCTTCAAAATTCAAAAAAATGGGAATTTGCAAATGTGAAATTTATTGGAAAGAATGACCTGTGAAGCGTTAAAACTTGCTAAAAATAATTACTTTTATAGATCCACTTCAATGATATGTAGTTTATAAATACTAAATATAATTTACAAATTATATTTTTGGAAATATACTTTATGTGTCCTCATGTAGTCTATGAAAAATCACGTTATTATCAAGGGAGGAGGAGGGGGGGTATATTTTTGCAACTAGACTACCATTAAACCAGTTTTTTATCAATTACTCAATATTTCTCAGGTTATAGAAGTATGGCCACAACAGATTCAAAAAATGTCATAACCCTAATATATATATATATATATATATATATATATATATATATATATATATATATATATATATATATATATATATATATATATATATATATATATATATATATATATTATATATATATATATATATATATATATATATATATATATATATATATATATATATATATATATATATATATAAAGGAAACAAATATTTATATAAAAAACCTTTTAAACTTCTAAGTGTTCTAAAAGTATTGAACACTCAAAAATATTTGCTTTTGAGTGTTTATTAATCTAAGTGTTCAAAATTTATTTAAAACACACAAAAAAACTTTTCAAACTTTGACACCAATTTTCAGAAAATCAAATGCAAAAATAATTTTAACACAAAACTTTAGGTAACACAAAATGAAACTTTAGGTAATACAAAAAAAAACTTTAGGTAACACAAAGTGAAACTTTAGGTAATACAAAATGAAATTTTTGGTTAACACAAAACCAAACATTAGGTATTACAAAATGGAACTTTAGGTAACACAAAATGAAGCTTTACATACAACACAAGCAAGAAAACTTACACCACTTGACCCATGACATTTCCTGTATTAGTAGACACATCTACATGAGAGACATTGAACGTTAATACCAAATTTGTCTCCCATTCACTGCATGTCTCTAAACTGTTGGATAACACAGGGGTTTCGACTTCATTTTTTTCTAAGGTAATGAAACACAGTAACTTATAAAATAGTAACTTAAAAAAAATCAGCAATAATCAGTAACAAAAAAGAAACCTTTGTAAGAATCCAATGTAGAAGATTCATTATGAGATTTAGAAGGTGTGTTTCGATGAGATGGAAATGGACTTCCTATTAAATTTTCAAGAAATGCAGCACTTTTTGCTCGGCGGTGACCTCGTGGTACTAAAACAAAGTTCTTTAAAAATTGTTTTTTCATTTAAACTCATTTTAATTTCAATAAAAACTGTATTAAAGTTAAAACATTTTTTTTTTCAATAAAAAAGATGAAGTTTCTTTTGAAATCCAAGTCTATGTAATTTTATAGCAAAATATTTTAATTAATATATGGAATAGTAAGTAAATCTGCCCTCGGATCCTCTGCCCTCGGATCGTCAGCCCTCGAATCGTCAGGTATTAAGATACCTTCAGATTGGCATTCTGCAATGCCGAGCTGACAGTATCTTAGGTCGGCAAAAAATTTTTTGTTTTTTGCCGACTTCAGAATTTTAAAACTTGATTTTATTTGCTTTTTAAAATAAATTAAAAATAAAACAATGAAAAAAAACCCAGCAAAACAGACGTTGTATTTATATTCTAAATAAAGTTGTTGAAATAAAAACAAAAAAGCTAACTTTTTTTTTTAATTTTCAATAAAATATTTAAAATAGCAACGGCAAAACAAATGTTTTATCTAAATTCGAAACAAAATAGTTAAAATTAAAAAAATAAAAAACGTTTAAATTCTAAAACATAATTAAAATAATACATTAAAAAAACTTTTTTTATAAATTCTGAACAAATAAATTTAAAAAACACAACATTAAAACAAACGTTTTATTTAATTAAATCAAATGTATAATTTGTTTTTAAATGAATTTGTTTTTAATATAATTATTTCATTTTAATATAATTATTTCATTTTAATATAATTATTTCATTTTAATATAATTATTTCATTTTAATATAATTATTTCATTTTAATATAATTATTTCATTTAAACATTAATTAAATCCTTAAAAAAACAATCAAAATAAAATTCTAGATATTTCAAATATTTAAAAAATTTAAATTCTAGATATTTTAAATATTTAAAAAATTAAAATAATTAAGATAAAAACTATAAAACAAATGTTTTTATTAAATTCTAGATAAATGCTAAAAAAAAAATTTAAAAAAAAAAAAAAAAAGTTATTATTATTTTTTTAATAAATATAAAAAAATGAATAAAAATAAAACCTGCAAAACTAATGTTTCTTTAAAATAAAATGGTAAAATTTTCAAATTTTTACTTTCATCACTTTATTTATAAAACATTAAGAGCTTCAAAATTAAAATTAACTCTATCAACTTTGAAAAATTCTCTTGTAAAAAAATTTCTCAAAAAAATAAAAAGAAGCTATTCAAATATGCGTATAAATTTTTTCAACCTTTTTGAAATATATTCGGATTATTTTTCAAAAATATATTTATTATATATTATATATATATACATATATATATATATATATATATATATATATATATATATATATATATATATATATATATATATATATATATATATATATATATATATATATATATATATATATATATATATATATATATATATATATATATATATATATATATATAATATATAATAGCAATCCTGTTAATATTTCAACACAATTTAAAGTAAGACTAAAACATATAGTTACAGCACTTAAGGTTAATGTTTATTAAAAATTCCTTTTAAGATACCAAGTGTTGGGTACTGCAACAAAATGGCCGATTCCGAGTACTCAAGAAAACAGCAGATACATATACACATACTTATATATATATATATAAATATATATGTACATATATATAGTTCAAAGCAACTTACCACTTTTAATTGGGCTGTTAATGCTCAATTGATTTGATCTAAATTTGTTAAAACTATTGGGAATACTATTTCCTGTCTTGCTAGCTGATGATAACAACTTGCCTTCTCGTGTCATTGAAGAAGCGTATGTTCCTTCTTTTCCCAAAAACATTCTTCGCATTAGATTATGTTTATACCAGGCCTTGGGAACATCTAAAATTTCATGTGTACGTCGCATATCACAATTAAAAGCAGCTGAACCAATGTCACAAATGACTAAAATCAAACAAAAAACAGGATTAAGTTAAAATATTTTAGCTATAAACAATGCTCCGAATACAATACAATGATTACAAGAATAATTAAATGCACCTGATACTTTAATAGCAGTACGATTCTCAAATTCCTTTACATCTGTATGCAACTTAATTCGCTTTCTTGACAAATTAAACTTTATAAACTCAACATTTAAACTCAGAGAATCTTTTCGACCAGATATAGGTCTACTATTATCTGAAGTAAAATTTTGTGATTGAGAATCTGTTAAGACTGGATACTGCTTACCATAAGGATGGAAAATGCAAAATGAGAAACGAGATAGACAAGCTGTACAGCTAAAGGTGTTTGATATCGAGTCTTCTTCAGATGTAAATGAACTAGTAGAAATTTTTTTATTAAGTTTACTTTGTTTTTTAGGTGAGCTAGAGTATGGAACTGTGCAAAGAGGTGGAGAAGAGGTTATTGCAAAATTTAATGAAGGTATACGCAACAAACATTCAACTTTTGAAGTTGGCAAACAGCTAAACCGAATATCAGATGGATCAATACGAATTATTACAACAACATTGACAGGAAAAGAATACAAACCAGATCCAGATGATGATATTGTAGATCCAGATATTGTAGCAGGAATAATTTCTTTGCCAAAATCTTGCATATCATTCATTATTGGTTCTAAAGCTTTTTCAATGAAATCAAGTAAAGATGGTCTTAAAATCATTTCTTTAGGTAATGACTGAATAGATAAAACAGAGCTTAAACTTCCAATTTTATTTGCATACTTTTTTGATGAACAGTTTGAATCAGCATCAGAAACATCTGCAAATTCTTTAGAGTTGGAAGATAAGTAATGTACACGAGCATTTACACCAGGAATAAGAAGAACCAGACTCTCATCAGCATGCGAAGAAAGAACAGATGCAGGAGATTGATTTGACCGAAACTTGACATTAAAAGAATCTGCTTTAACCAATGGAGGCTTATGAGGAATATCAACCATAGATACATTTTCACTTAACCTTGAATTAAAAGAATACAAATTTAATACTATTTTTTTTATCATGACTTTTTTTAATATACTTTTTTTAATATAGGAGCATATTGAATTTATGCAAGATTTACATCTTGCATAAATTCAAATATATATAAATAATTATTTTCAACTTTCATAATTTGTTTTACTACTATTGATATAAAATAGAGACCTAGCATTGTCACAGAATTAGCAAAGAGTGCATTACTTTTTTTTTTAACTTTTAGAATTATTAAAGACTAAATTACATAGCAAGATATACAGATGTTTAACCCTTGCAGTTTTCCTAATGAATATAAAACTATTGCCCAATCAATTCTTAGGAAAATCTATGAATCTTTAATTAGCAAACTTCTCTCATCTTCAGTTTAGCAACTCTCTAACAATCAAAAAATATTTTAATACTCTTATCCTTCTGATGGATGTCCTTATCTTTTTTGTTATAATAATTAATAAGAACTATTTGTTAAACAAAAAGGTTGCCAGAAATCATGATTTAGAAGCAGTAAGACAAGGGCTATTACTCTTGACATACCAAAGGTTTTCAATAAAGTATGGTATGCTGGTCTTTTCCATAAGCTTGCTTTACATTTTGTATCTGCAGTCTTCTCTGTTTAAAATTTAATGCCAATGTACAAAAAAGTGTTGGCTGGATGGTCAATTTTAGGCTGGCGCATGCAACTTTAAAAAATTATTTACTACTTGAATAAAGATTAAAACAGTCAAAACTTTGAATAAAGTTTAAATGACACAATTAAAAAAAAAAAACAAGCAAAAGGATTAAATTCTAGAAAAAATAATTAAAATAAAAATTTTGGTATTGCATTGGTATTGGTATTGCACAAAATAATTAAAATAAAAACAGAAAGACAAGCATTTTATCATTTATTCTATTTTATTTTATAAGGTAAAGTGGGATAACATTGACACATCTATTTTATATTTTTTTAGCTGTGACAAACTAAATTTGGTAAGCAATATTTCTATGTGTTTAACAATGATGTTGCTGCCATAAATTGATGAAGAATTTAATCAGTTATCTAATATTATTGATAATTAATTTTGGCTTCAACTGTCAATATTACCCCTACATGGGGTAACATTGACAGTAGTATGTTTTATGCAGTAAATGTTAAAGTTGCATCATGAGGGATAACATTATCATTGGAATTTCGAAAGAAAAAAAATAGAGAAAACATTTTTAGCATAAATAAATAAAATAAATACATGTTTACCCGCAGCTACTGTGTTTTGCTAAAATAGTGGATAAAGTTGACAAAACACTTGCTCAGCTGTGCAACAAATAATTATATTAGTAAAAATTTTAATATTAATGTTCAAGTGATTTTAATTTGAATTGAATGGTGAATAGTTCACCATTCACCATTATATAAAAATTTAGTTTTTTCTTATAAACAGTTGCGTTTTTTTTGCCGCAGATGATATTTGGAAGTATATTCAAAAGTTCAGGACCATAGTGGTATAATGTTGAATTACCAAAACAATTGCTTCATTTTGTTTCCTTTAATTTTAGTGTTCTTTCTGATATTGAGTAGTGAATTAAATTGCATAATGACACTGAAGCTTCCAGAATAATAGATTTGTGCATTATTTTTAAAATTTTCTTGAAATATTTTTTTCCTCTAATTTCCATTCAATGCAATTTGTTAAATTCCTGATAGTTTACATGATTTTCTATTCTAGTTTTAAATACCAGCCTTGCTGCAAAATTTTGAACAGATTGCAGTTTTTTTAATAGTGACTTTTCAATTCCAAAGTAGAAGGAGTTGCAATAATATAGCTGTGCAAATATTAGTGAACATACTGTGGTGCACAAATCTTTGTGCAATAAGAATTGTTTTATTTTTGATATTTTGCTCAATATATTGTAGCAGTTTTTAACAATCTTATTTATTTGTGTTTTTAAAAATAATTCATTGTCAAGTATCATCCCTAAACTCTTTTTTGAGTTAACAAATCTAATGCATTCCTGGTTAACAAAGGTAGCTTTAATAATAATATCTTTTTAAATGCTAGGTGGTGCCATAATTGATATTTTTGTTTTCGATTGGTTAACACATAAGAATGATTCACTCATCCATTTAGATATTTATTCAAGATATTTTGGTATGTCTAGGCCTAGTGCATTATATTGAGATAAAGGAAGGAGTGCTTTTAGAGTTTGATGATCATCCAAGTATCCAAAATTTTTAACATTGATTATCTTCAGATATTTGTATAGTGGTCTTATATAGATGTTAAAGAGTTTTAGACCCAGGACTGTACCTTGTCGTGTTCCATATTTTACATTTTAGTTCATGGAATAAGAGTTACGATTTTGACTTTTTGGGTATAGTATAAAAATGATTCAAACCACTGAGTTAAGTATACTTATTTCACATTGAGCTGAGTTAAGTATACTTATTTCACGGGTTAATAGTTCAAGTAGTTTTTGCTGATTAATAGTGTCAAAGGCAGCACTTAGATCAAGTAACATTAGTACTGAAGGTGTTTGTTTATCAAAGAGTACAAATATATCATTATTAAGCTTAAGTAAAAGTGTTCAGTTAAGTGATGATTTTTGTATCCATATTGATATTCTTTATGAAAATTGTTTGTTTTGTAGGATGCGTAAACCAAGACAATTCGAAACTACTCTTTCTATTAGCTTGCTAATGAATACTAAATTAGAAATTGGTCTAAAATTTTTATGTCTTCAGTATATGTGGCAGTCTAACTTTTTTATTATTGGAAGTAATGTAGCACTTTTTAAACAATCCATGCTGCTTGATTCTAGCAATAGGTTAACTATTTTAACTAGGACTGTACCGGATTTAATTTTTCCAAATCCGACCGGAGCCGGATTTGCCGGATTTTTACTATCAGATCCGGCCGGAATCGGAGCTGGAGTTAGATTTCGAAGCAAAACTAAAGTAACCAAATTCCTATACATCCCTAAATGGTGCTGAAAATGGTCAACAATGTTTACTACTCAGAATACAAAGTGACAGTTGTTTTCTGTCACTTGGTATACTTGGTATTTTCTTTGTTTTGTTGTTAAAAAGTTTTATAGCAATTTCTATAGAAATTTATAAACATTTTATATAAATTCTATAGAGTTTCTATATGCCATATGTTTCAAAAATTTAGAGAAATTCTATATTACTTTTTTTTTTCGTGATGTTGTCACTCCGCCACTGTAGTGAATCAGCGTGTCTATATAATTCTGATTCTTCCAGATATTGGCTTAGCTGAGTTGTCAATGCCTGTTGGTAATTGTTGTTCATGTGCTGTGCCACAAGCGTAGACTGAATAATTTCATCTATATATACTGCCATTGTAATGATGATAATGTATAAGATTTATCCAGCCGGGCCTGTTTTGCTGGATTTTCTTTAGTTTTGTCAATCTGCTCAGTATGCTCAGATTGACTTCAATCTTGTTTTTTCACCTGTCAGTGTTGCCTGTAATCAGAAAAGTTTAGTTTGAAATTATGAACCAACCACTGTCACCACTATATAAAAAGGTTTCTCCTCAATGCCTTTAAAACACTCATCCAATGACTTGATTAGAATTGACTTCATCGTCTTTACACCTGCATTATTGCAAAACATCGTGTGTCTTCCAGAATTTTTTGTTGCGTTGTTGTTTGAAATTAGGCTTAGCTAATTAATTTTTAAAGAAATGTAAATACAGATACTATAACAAACATGAAGTTCATAGACTATATATATACTAAAAACATTAATTTGTAAAAATAAAATATTAAGTATACATGTTATCACGGGCAAGAAACATGTAATAAATATCAGACCAAAATTCAGAAATCCGACCAAAATTATGCCAGATTTGTAAAAATGGCCAGATTTTGGCTGGAGCAGGAGCCGGAATTCGGTACAGCCCTAATTTTAACCCATATATGTATAAATGTTTGTAAATTATTCTGTAATATATATGCTGGAATCAGATCATTAAGAGAACATTTTACTCCAAATGACATGGTAATTTTGTAAATTTGTTCATATGTTGTTGGATCAAATTTTTTTAAAAACTGACCAATTATAATCTGATTTGTTTTTCTTTGTTTGGGATATTTGAAGACCAAACCTGAGTTTTCTGATTTTTTCAGTAAAATAATTATTTAAGTTGTTAGCTAACTCTTTGTCTGAATCGGCTGTTGGTAGGACCTATTCTTGAGTTTTATCTAGTAGCTTGTGTACCAATGAGAACAGATTTTTACTTGCAGTGTTTTTATTTATTAGGTTAGAGAAATATGTTCTTTTTTTTATATAAGCAATTATTGTTTTTTTCTCGAGGCGTCTTTATTCTTTTTTGTCAATTTCCTTTTTTTGTTCTCTTAAACAATTTTTTCAGCTAATGATATTCTGGTTTATTTCTTAATATTTCATTGTTAAAGAACTGTATGTCCATTGTTTTTAAATTCCTGTATGTGATATTTTGGTATAATTTTTTTTCTATTTTTTGTTTTACTTTAAAATCAATGACAAAATTATCACTCAAATCTAAGTCTGTTACTGCGACCATAATTACTGATATTTCATCTGGCTTGATTGTTAAAACAATTGATTGTTTTAACATAATTCCTACCCCACTACCATTTTCTTTATCTCTTTTTTTTCTTAACATATCCATAATTTTTTATCATTGCTGTTGTATTATTGTTTTCAGAAGTCATCCATGTTTCGATAATAAAAACTGGATTCCGGTCAAGTATATTTCATCTGGAAGTTTATTATTAAGAGAGCAAGCATTCCATAGTGAGCATAATATATAATTTATGTAGGTTCTATCATCCTTTTGGACTTATTGTTTAAACGATTAATTTCAAGTGCTTCTTTGAGGGTATTTTTTTTTTCTCTCAAGTGAAGGACATTTAATATCAAATGCACAGTGAAAAAATTATCATTTTGTCCATCTAAAACACAGTTAACACATTTTTTATCCATTGAAGAGCACTGAGTTCGA